TCAACTGGGCATGTGTAGAATTCTTACTGTAACAAGTTACAGTATTCTGGTTTTAGCAAAGCACCCGTGTGTGTGAAATATCACTAATGAGGCAAACTATTTTGGTCTCAAATCTTCTTCTACCTTTATCCCTTTACTTTTCTAACACCTCTTTAGATATTTGAAAATAATTTAGATGTCTTTAGGAATATTAATATATTTTTCAAATATGGTTTCACATTGAATTTAATATCCTACTTCTAAAACACAATAAATCAAAATGAGACTAGCTTTTTCAGGTATTTACCCTATGAGCAATGTCCAACATATCACTCCTTAGGAAATCCTGAAGAAATTGACAATGAAAAAACTATTTTTTCTTCATTTCCTCTTTTTTTGCTTTTTGTTCAGATTTGAATTGGCAACTAGTTATTGAGGAAATACTATTTTAATAGACTTTTACAATATCTGCTTTCAGGGAAGTGATTTGCGAAGTGCTATATTAAAAAATGAAGGAGTTGTAAAAATGTCTTTTAGTAGCTGCAGATCTGAGAAATTGTGTTCTTACTGTTTGATATTGGATCTTTGAAACAAAAGGCTAAGTTACACCATTTTGAACTGTGTTAGCTTGATAGCTCTATATAAGTAATCCTAATGGAGAAAATATATTGGTATAGTAGTAGCTCCTTAAATATTTCAGGTATAATTACTGATTCAGTTTGGAATAAGCAAAATAAATAAAGACTCAAAGAAAAAAATAAGGTGTTTTAAGATAGTATTGATATTTAAAGGCTCCTAGATAACGGTCTTCTTTTGAGTGGTACCTATTAAATGAAAGCTAAAACACTTACCAGACAGCAGGGGAAGAAATGACATACAAATAAGTGACCCAAAGGAACTATACCTAAAAAATTGAAAACCAATTTAAAGCCTTGTATCACTTTGAAGTTTTAGATTGATTTTGTCTTTCTATGGCAACATAAATATATTTTCTCTCTCTCCTTTCCTGAGACAGCCTACTGTTCTCAGACCTCTTCCCCCCTGCCTCCAATTTAAATAACTGTCTTTTATTAAGTCCAATAACATCTGAGCACGGGAGACTGCTCTTTAGTCCAAAGACCATGCGTGGTATGCATATGGATTCACAGATGCCTTCAGAAAACCACCCCACAGATTAGGAACCATGTAGGTCCCTTAATTTACATATGGGAAAATGAAGCCTTGAGTGGTTTAAGTCAGCAGTCACAAATTATGACTTGCAGATGGAATTCAGACCTACAGGCATGTTTTGTTTGGCCTGTTAGGATGCATTAAAATTTTTGAGCAAACAGTTAAAAATCAGGAAATTTTTAGCATCTCGTGAAAATAGGGGGATCTGGAATTGTTGGAGTGATATTCCTGCATGACTTTAATTGACTAGAGTTACTTAGCAGCTACATCTTTTACAGGATTCATGTATCTCCAAGTTAGCAATTCTCATAATTCCTTTTTGTCTTATATCTGCTTCTGTTTCACTTATTCATTCACCTGCCTTGCCATTCTGAAAATTTTTGTTATTAGCAAGTCAGAGGCAGAGTGGAAAGTAGAACCTTTTATCCTGAACCTAAGCAACTGTAGGTTCCTGCTGTCATCACTCATGCATTGGTTTATAAACCCTGGGTTCTTGCCCTTCCATTGCCATTGACGCCATGTGGCATCCAACAAGTCATTTAACCCCTCTGAATTTCAGGTTTTTTTTGTTTTTAAAAATATCTTTATTGATTTCAGAGAAAGGAAAGGAGAAGGAGAGAGAGAGATAGAAACATCAATGATGAGAGAGTCGTTGATCGGCAGCCTCCTGCAAGCCCCCGACTAGGCATCGGGCCCACAACCTGGGCATGTGCCCTGACCGGGAATTGAACCCTGATCGCCCGGATCCTAGGTCGATGTTCAACCACTGAGCCACGCCCGGCTGGGCTGAATTTCAGTTTTGATATCTGTCAAATGGTCATAATAAGCATTTAATCATGTAAACAGTTTTAAAAATCTAAAGGCTATATTAAAACAGCCTCATAAAGTCACAGTTAATATTTTGTTATGTGTTAGATTGCTTAAAAATGCTGCTTCCACCATGCCCTTTGCCTATGGTTAATACCTTCAGTGCCCTGCATTCTATAGGATAAAATCCAAATTTCTTTGCCTTACAATGTTCCCTACCATTTGGTTCCAACATACCTTGCAAAAATATCTTTTACTTTGTATGAAATGGAATGGAATTTCACTCATTTACTGTTCATTCTCCACCCTCCTACCTGTACCCCTCATTACCCATTTTTTTATCCCCTAAATATTAAGCACCTCTGCTGTGCCAGGAACTGTTTTGAGCCCTGGGGATTATAAAGCTGAACAAGACAAAGTCACTACCTCTAACATTCTTATACTTAAGCTTTATATTTTAGGCAGGTCATATATATATCTTTATTGATTTCAGAGAGAGGAAGGGAGAGAGAGAGAGAAACATCAATGATGAGAGAATCGTCATTGATCAGCCACCTCCTGCATTCCCCCGACTGGGGGATTGAGCCCCCAACCTGGGCATGTGTCCTGACCAGGAATTGAACCGCGATCTCCTGGATCCTAGGTTGATGCTTAACCACTGAGCCAAGCCTGGCCAGGTGGCAGGTCCGTATTTTGTATCTTGAATACATCTTACGTATACTTGACTCCCTTGCTCACGCTATCCTCCTTTTTCTTTTTCCTTTACTCAACAAATATTTATTGATTGCTTATTGTGTCAGGCACTATTCACTGGGTGTTATAACAGAGCAAAGTCTCTGCTTCCTTGGAATTTGTTTTTTGTGGGATGAATAAGACATTAAATAAATAAACAAAATATATGTCATTAGGGCTTTGAAGTAAAATGTAGCAGGGCAAGGAGGATAGGAAGTAATTGTGTGTGAATCATGGTGTTATTATTTTAGAATAATGAGAAGGGATGATGAGAAGCAGCCTTTCTTATATTTGAAAAGAGTCCTGAAGGAACTGAGGGAACCAAGAGGGTATCTAGTAATTCAGGCAGAGGGTGCAACAAGTATATGCTTAACATATTCAAGGGACAGTGAGGTGGCCAGTATGGTAGGGGCTGAGAGAGAAGTAAGAGATGAGTTCTGAAAGGTAGAGGGGTACAGATCCTGAAGTGCATTACTGGCCATGGTACCTTGGCCTTATGCTCTAGAATGAGTTTTATCATCTCTGAATTTTTAATTCAGATTTCTTTGTATAACCTTCTTTGACCATCCCTGTTTACAGTAATTTCTCATTCTAACTCCTGGAACACTTATTGACCACATAACTCATGTTGGTTAGCTGACTAAGGCAATGCCTGACTAAGGCAATGTCGTCTTACAGGTCTTCTGTTCTTTCCTAACTACTTTGTAACTTCCTCTAGCATAGGGATGTAATCTTCATCCTACATGATGCTTTTCACCTCGTTGGTGCTTAATATATACTTGTCTTATGAGGCTCTCGCCTCAGATGTCAGCAACAGGAATTTGAAAGCAGTGTCTAAGAAAGAAGGGAAAGGACTTGGTGATAGATTAGATGTAAGGTTTTAGTTTGTTATCTGGAAGAGTAACAGTACTATGGACAGATAAAGGAATATTGGGAAAATAAGCTGAATTTGGGATAGATTGATGAATTTGGTTTGGAATTTACTGAACTTCCCATGCTAGTGGGATATCCAAATTAAGCTGTACAGAATGACTTGGATATGTCAGAACATATAGAGAGTATTAGTATTATTTGTGACCGCTGCCAGCAGTATGCAATTACAAAAACATGGACAGCCTGTTACTCATTTCTAGTACCTGAAACAGGGGCTGGCAAATAATAGGCGCTTAAGTCATATACATAATACTGTTATCAAGATGAGAGGTAAGGTAGGTGTGTAGCTCTGGTGCACATCATGGAAAGGGCTTAGGCTCTGGAGTCAGTTCATTGTGGGTCTGAATTCCAGCCTCTCCACCTTCTGTGTGTTGTTGTTTTGAACAAGTGACTTCTTTGTATCTCAGGGTCCTCATCTGGAAAATGAGGACCTTCCTTTCAATGCTGGAAGGAAGACCTTGGAATAAGACCTTCCTTGCAGGGCTGTGAGACAATGATTGCAGGCATAGGTCCTGGCATAGAGTAGTGGCTTAAGAAATAGTACCGATTCATTTAGGTATAATTATTATTATTATTACTACAAGATAATGTATGCGCCCTTGGCTGAAATCAAACCCAGGACCCTTCAGTCTGTGGGCCGATGCTCTAACCACTGAGCAAAACTGGCTAGGGCTCTATAGCAATATTTTTTGTAGTAAGAAATGCTAAATAGACGCAGAGTCTATTATCTTTTATTTTTTTTATTTTTTCAAATACCTCATATCTTTTTTCTTCAAATCACACATTAAGATTTTGTAGCCTTTTGGTTTAGAGTCCTTTCCTGTTTCTTTTTTCTCTCAATGTAAGACAAATCTAAGTGCACCTTTTGAAGTGGTTTCCTGCTTTTGTAGGTCTTTTCTGGCTCTGATTCCTTAGGAGCTGTTGGGTACCTCTGAAATGTATGTTTTACTTTTTGCTTTGAAGCAGATGTCGTGGCACTAAGACCCAGAAACCGTTTGCTCTGTGTGGCTGGAGCTGGGCAGGCTGTGCTCTCGCACTGAAGGGAAGGAAGTCATTAGTGCAGACTGAGCTGTGGAGTTGGGTTCTTGCAGGATTTCCTTCCAGCCTTTCCCCACTAAGGTTCTTGGGAATTAAAAAAAAAATCTAAACACACAAAACAAGTTTTCCTATTTACAGTGTTTAGGGAAGGTAGGCATTTGGGGAAGGGCAGATCCTTTCCCCAAGTTATCCAAGAAGGAAGAGAAAACAGCGTAAAGAAGCTCTGATTACAGATCTTTGGAATTTTCTTTGCTAAATTTTACAAACGAGAAATACACCCAGAATTTTGGGAATTGCTCCAGGCTGCGCGTGAGGGTTTGATTGCTTGTCTAATCTTTTTTTTTTTTTTTTTTTTTTTTTTTTTTGGGGAAGAGGAGAATTCGCGAAAAGGGGTTTGGATGGCAGAAGCCCGGCTGGGTTTCTGTAGCTGCTCGTGTTCTCAAGCTCTTCTCTGAGGGAGGGTCTCTGCAGCTGCTGGGAGACCCCCTTGTCACAGGCTCCTTTTGCAGGCTCTGGCCCCGGGCGGAAAATGCCCCACTCTGGCAGGAGTATGCTGGCTGCTGGGACTTCCTAGCCCAGTGAGAAGTGTGTTCGTGGTTTGGGGATACTTTTCATTGAACTGAAAGCGAAAAGACTGGACTCTCCTGGGCTTTTTCCCTTCGCAGTGAATATGGGAAAGAATTAGGGGGTGGGAGGGAGGCAGCATGACTTGCAGTCGCTGCTGCCCTGCATCTGCCCCCAGCCCCCAGCCAGCATCTTGATGTTCCACGTATCGGCTGTACAAATATGATGAAATGGCAGCCCCGGAAGAAGGTAAGTGTCCCGGAGTGGGGACGGGTCCCTGATGCCCTAGGGAAGGGTTACAGGGAGCGGTGGCCTTTGGGTCCCTCCACCCCTTCCGTAGTTTGCTGGGCTGGCAGGTTCAAGCAGCTCTGTCCCCTTAGGGACTTGCGCCACTCCCTTAGGGACAAGTTACCAAGTCTGGTCTGTGTCCACTGCCTATTTAAGTTTTTCCTTCTTGGTATGCCTGGACTGAGTCTCAGGGGCGACAGCTCAGAAACAGCCATTCGCTTTAGAAGCCCTGTGGAGTCAGGGACATGATTAGCTTTGCAGGAGCCAGCCAAGAGCTGCCAGGGCCAAGGACTTGGTAACGCCCCATTCTCTGGGGGCCATTTGGAGCTGTACCCCCGACACATTCCAGTGTCCCCGCAGGTGGGTGGTGTTGTAGCACCTACTTCCCCAAGGGGTTAATAGGCTCAGATCGGCTGGCAGCTGCTTCCCCAGGGCCCCGCTGGGGGGCGAGCATCCCCAGCACAAACTGCCCAGCAGCTGGTTCCCGGGCAGCCAGGCTGCAAGGCCTCCTGCCCGAGCGCCTGGGGCCCCGCCCAGGAGGGCCTTCTGCCTGCGGGGCTCCCTGGCTGTAGTGTGGGCCCGCGCGAGTGAGCTCGCCGGCCATTGTGCACGGGTGTGTGTCTTGTGCGTGTCAGCGTGCACGGGCGTGTGTGCATCGATCGTGGGGAAGAGGGGGAGGGGGCACTTGCTTTTTGCAAGATTATTTCCTAATATGGCTCCTTTGTTGAGAACTCAAGAAAAAAAATCCAGTGGTTCTATCAAAATAAATTACTATTGGTCCCAGAAATAACGTTTCTAAATGTGGGACTGGTCCCTACTCCCGGACGTTCAGGGAGAAAGACAGCTTTCTTCAAGTTGTTGGCGGCTGTAGGTTTGGATAGGGCTCCCTTTTGCTAACTTGTCTGACGGGCGCTAACTGTTAGATGAACCCAGTGGTTCACTGCACAGCAGGACCTCT